CGCTTCCAGCGGTCCCGCTGCCGGGCAAAGTGTCTTCGTCCCAGCGCGTGCGGGCTCGGTGCTCGCCGACGCGCCAGGGGAATGAATGGAGGGAATGGGCGCGCAGTCCTCCCCGGAGGATGCCCGGGGAGCTCCCCGAACGCCCGGGAAAAGGCAGCGTCAGGATGGACGCCTGACCCCCGCCGGTCGTAGAGCCCTCTTCTCCACCATCCGGGTGGGAGGGTCCCACCTAGCGGTTCCAGGCAGGGTTTTGCTTTTCTCTGCGCGCTCCGATCCGAGCGAAACGTTCTTTAAACTCTCCCAGCCTGCCTGGTTTGCCTCTCCAGCTCGCTCCTGACACAGGACGCCCTGCCATTGCCTCCAACTTAAGAAAACTTGTTGAGTCCCGACACATGAATACATCATAAAACAAATGTAGTGGGTGGCAACATGCTTTTGAAAATCCAACAAAATATTATAAGAATCCAACAAAAAAATATTAGCTCGTTGCCCTTAGGAAGGTCAAGTGTTGTCTCATAATCCCTTTGTTTTCACGAATAAATACTGGACACCTGGTGTAAACCGTATTATTTTCTACTTGTGAATCATAGGTCAAAACAGTTTAAAAGCTATCTTGAGGGGTGGGCATGTAAAAAGACGGCCTCTAACTCCATAAAACTTTCTTTAAAAACAAGCCCATTCTTTTGTTTTTAAGCCCATTATATTCTCACTATCCTTCCCGCCTCTGTATCCCGTGCTCATCATCCTCCTAGAATAAAAGACAAGCTAGCTCCTGCACACACTTAGCTTGTTTTGTTACTGGAAAAATAATTTCCTCTTCATCTTAGGATGGTCCTTGACGGCCATCTTCTCTGCCTCAATATTTAACACTACATAAACAAGGGCTTCCCTTAGCCTAATGCCATTTACATTTGTAAACTCCTAAACTACCATTGGTAAGGGGAACCTCAGAGATCATCTGGGCCTGCCATGCAGTTGGAGAAAAGAAACCCACAATCCACAAAGCACTGAACCTTAACCTTAGATCTCTAGGTTCCCGTGCTGATCTTTCTTCATAGCCTTCATTCAGCCCCGTCTGTCTCCTTCGCTGGTCTCCCTAGCTTTGTTCATGGCCAGTTGTTCCTACGCACTGCTGCCCTCTCAGTACATGGTTCTGGCCACTCCATGCTCCCGCTTACATCTTAGGAAGAGCCCCATGTAGTGCTAAGTTTCTTAGTTTGTTGGCTTTTAGTCAAGACAGGCAGGTTCCAACTCACCTCTCCTAGGACATGATTTCAGCAAATCGTGGCTTCTCCAGCCAGACTGGTTTACCTGTACTCCTCTGCCAGCCTTGCTCATCTATGCCTTTGCCCAAAATTTCACTTTCTCGCCAGAGAAAGTGCCTTCTCTCTTTAAATAATTTCTACCTGCCGGTTGGCTCATTCCCTCCGTAAACAACCCAAATACCATGTGAAAAGGACAAGACCGAGTTCAATTCCCCACTTCTCCCATTTGGCAGGTGTGTGAACTTGGTCTCATGGTCTGCCCTCACCGAGCCCTGGTTTCTACATCTTGATTGTAATAGGAATAGTAAGTAGTAGTAATGTTATGCTTCCCTGCGCCCATCAGTCTCTACCCCGCCTTCGCCACATAGATACACATTGCTTATTGCTTTCTCTGCCTCTTTCCCTGCTGTCCAACAGAGCTTTCTCCAGTGTTGCCGGGCTCCATCCACATGATGAACACATGATGGAATGCAGCTAGTGTGACTGAGGAACTAAATCCTGATTTTAATAGACACATGTGGCTAGTGGCTACCATACTGGGGAGTGCATTTCTGTCTGTAAGCTCAGTGAAGGCGGAAGCCACACAGGTCTCGTTTATCACCTTATCCTTAGGCAGTGAGTGACAGTGACAACTTATTTCATCCTCACCTCTGTCAGCACAACACTTAGGACTTGATTTTTTTTCTTTTTAAAGATAGTTCATATAGTTCTCGCCACAGCTTCTGAGGTTAGATTCAAGAGAATTTGTTTAAAGTGCTGATGCACAGTAGGGGTTCAATAAGAGGTAGTTATTACTATTCCGAACACCTCCGTAACCAGCCCCACTGATTTTTATTGTTCCTCTCCCGGGGCTGGCTCTCCTTTTGTGTAAATATTCTGTCCCACACTTGTACTGGCAGCTCCTTGGGGCAAGCTCCCTAGCATGCTTTCTGGGCTAGGCCTTCCCTCAGCACTTGTTCCTGACTAATAATGGCCTCTAACTCCAGCTGAGATGCTGGTGAGCAGCAGATAATCTGGGTAGTCTTATTCTTTGGAATGCCTCCCAAACACACACACACACACACACACACACACACACTAAAATGAAAGTGGCTTGTATTAGCTGAAAACATGTTAATGTTCCTTCTCATGGGAATGCAAGCACAGTGAGCAAAGAAATAGAGTCTCACAAAAGAGGAGCATGAGGGAGCCATATTGGCAAGACACCCCCCTTCTTTTTAGGCCACTGTGACCATAGCTGTTCCTATGGCTGCAAAACTTCAGTTAAAAAAATTCAGTCGAGCTAGTATTCTTGGTATCAAATAGATTAAAAAAAAAAAACTGCTATTGAAATGAACTTCAGCTTTTCTTTTACACACTGCCAGGCTGAGGAGAGCTAATTATCTCCTTTCCCTGTAGTGACTGCCGTCAAGTAGGCACCAGGCATAAGCTAACTGCAAAGTGTCACTGTGGGAAGGCATGAGAGCAGGAGGGGGTGGTCTGAGATGATGGCCTGGGGCCCCCGTGTCCGGCGGGAAGAGGGTAAAGAACTGCCTGTAGGTCAGAGGGCAGAGGGACGGGTGGACAGCCAAGCGGGGAGGACATCAACCCCACAGAGCAAAGAGCATTTGGACCCGATGGGTGGCAGTGCTGCTGTCCCCAAGAGCACCCACGAGAGGAGACTCCATAAGCACCTCAGTGCTCTGTGTTCTGAGCAGTGCATAACTATTAACTCATTCAATAAATCAGACTTTTGATAACTCATAGAACTCCAGGTGGCCAAAATGCAAAGCAACATCAGAAAAAAAAAGGCAAGGAAACTATCAAGGAGTTGACGATCACCTGGTGCCAAATACAACTTCTTTTTTAAAAGCAGTATCTATTTTATTTTATGCATATGGGCATTTTCCTTGTGTGTATGTGTGTACACTTCATCCATGCCTGAGACCTGAGGATGTCAGAAGAAGGGGTCTGTATTGGCTAGTGTAATGTCAGCTCGACACAAGATAGAGTCATCAGGGAGGAGGGAACCTCAATTGAGAAGATAAGATCAGGCTGTAAGCTAGCCTGTCGGGCATTTTCTTAATTAGTGATCGACAGGGAAGGGCCCAGATCATTGTGGGTGGTGCCATCCTGGGGCAGGTGGTTCTGGGTTCTGCAAGAAAGCAGGCTGAGCAAGCGATGGGGAGCAAGCCAGTGAGCAGCACCCCTCCATGGCCTCTGCCTCAGCTCCTGCCTCCAGGTTCCTGCCCTCTTTGATTTCCTGTCCTCACTGCTTTTGGTGATCTGTTGCATGGAACTGAGTGAATAAACCCTTTCCCCGCCAAGTTGCCTTTGGTCATGATGTTTCATAATAGTAATAGTAACCCTAACTAAGGCAGGGTCAGGTCCCTAGAACTGGAGTTACAGATGATTGTGAGCCACCATGTGGATGCTGGGAACTGAACCTGGGTCCTCTGCAAGAACAGCATGTGTTCTTAACCACTGAGCTATTTCTCCAGCCCCCAGCTACCACTTCTTAATTCACCTTTCTACAAATTGGAACGAGCCCTAACTCTCTCCAGAACTAGTAAATGTAAATAAGCATTGGCCTCATTCCATCGTCCTTTTGTTTACATGATAAGTAACAAGGGGTATCGCTGTGCTTGTGCCTACAGTTGTGAAAACCCACACCACAGTATCTTCAAGGCACCAGATAGGGATAGTGGTCTTTAGGCTGCATATTTTAGGAGTGTGGGTCTTGTTACCTCCACCTCAGGTGTTTGGAGCAGGATGTCTGTATAAGTTACATCTTATTTTGACTTGGTGTTATGATTCTTTTCCTGACAGCTCCTCATTTCTGAATCTGAGCCTGTGGTCTGTCTATTAGAAATGCGTCTAGAGGAAGCAGGTCACACTCTCAAGTTCTCTCTCCCCAAATCACCTCTGTGAGCAAGGGAGATGGCGTCTTTGGCAAAGTGCTTGCCTTGCAAGCATAGGACCCGAGTTAGATCCCTGGGACCCACAAGTAAAAAGAAGATGGCTGTGGTGACGCTCATTTGTAATCCAGGCAGGTGGATACCTGGGGCTCACTGGCCAACAAACTAGTCTACTTGGTGCATCCCAGTCAGTAACAAGAGAACTCTCTCAGAAAGCAAGCAAAGATGGAGAGAAGGGGAGGGGGAGGAAGAGAGGGATGGAAGAAAAATGAAGGTAAGGCAAGGTAGAAACT